TCCGAGGGAGGGGGCTGTGACCCCCGGGGAAGGAGGCACCGGGACACTTGCCATATCCACCCGCGCCGCAGGGAGGGAGCTGCCTCCCCACCAAAGGGGAGCAAGACTTGCAGGTGATGCTGGGGGAGGGGTGGTCCTGTAAGCAAGTGGAGAGGGCCTGGCGGGAAGGGTGTGGGTGCGGGATGGCCCACCTTAGTTGAGAGTGCCTGACGAGGGAACAGCAATACAGGAGCAGTCGACCGGGCCCCACCTGACCCAACAGCAGGGTCTTCGTAAATACAAGTATATTTGAAACTACATGAGCTCTGTCATGAAATAGGTTCATGGGGTCAGGAAGTTTTATGGAAAGCTCAAATATAAAACCCACAAGACACAAAGAACTAAGAGGGATGGCCGATTGTTTACACCTCATTCGTTCTCTGAAAGGGGGGTGTTTTTCTTCATTAGTTTATTTTCTTCATCTTAACATAATATGGAATCCCATATTGTTAAATATGACTACTATTAATAACAGCAGAGTAGAACTGCTTCATCGTGCTTCCGGACCTTTCTTCCAAGGCTCCGCTTGGCTCAGTTAACATTCCCGCCAGCAGCAGAGGACGGTTCTGATTCCTCACATCTGGTCAGCACTTGCTAGCTGCGTTATTAATTAGTGTCGTCTCATGGGTGTGAAGTGTGATCTCATTGTTAGGTAAACTTAAATGTGGGATAGTTTACAGATGCAGAAAAGTTGCCAAGGTAGTACAGAGGGTCCCTGTGTCCTTCCCGCAATCACAACAGCTTTAGTTTTGTTGTAACAGCTTTATTGAGAGATCTTAGCCCATACAATTCATCCTTTGAAATTACATCTCAGTGATTACAAGCAAATCTATTAAAAAAATTGTGGAGCTATCACCAGTATCTAACTTTAGAACATTTTCATCTCTTATACCTATTAGCAATCTCCCATTGCTTCCTCTCCGCCCCCACTCCAGCTCCGGGCATTCACTGATCTTTCTGTCTATTCCAGGGATTTCACAAGGATCCCTGATGGCATACTGGGTTATTCATTGGGCTGCTACAGTCACGGGGACCCACGGGGCAGTTGACTCTGTCCAATAGGGCTGCTATGAGCAGCACTAAGCTCAATGATGGCAGTGAGATTGGATTTTTGTTTGAGGACGTTTCATAAAATCCAATCAGATAATAAGTGATCTATTGTGTTCGATTTTTTTAAAGAAATCGTTTTATTGTGAATTAGATGGGAGTTTACATATCAGATCATCATTTTTTGGCAGTCAACAACCAAAACAACATCTCAAACTTCCCATCAGCTCCCCCTGTTTCTTCCCCTCCCCCATCCTTGTTGTATCCATCTCCCTTTTTATGTGTGCCATTTAAAATATATATATAATAGGTCTATCTGAAAAGATAGGCGGGATAAACAATCTGGAGGAAAAAACAACGGGACCGATGGGACATGGGAGAGGGGGAGGTCGGGGAAAGGAAGTGGGTGTTAATGAACCCAGGGACAAGGGAACAAGTGATCCAAAATCGGTGGCGAGGAGGGTGTAGGAGGCCTTGTAGGGCTTGATCAAGGGCAATGTAACCGAGAGGATTTACTGAAACCCAAATGAAGGCTGAGCATGATAGTAGGACAAGAGGAATGTAAAAGGAAACAGAGGAAAGAACTAGGGGGCAAAGGGCATTTATAGGGGTTTAAATACAGGCATGTACACATGTAAATATATATATGATGATGGGGAAATACATCTCTTCATATATTTACAGGTTTAGTATTAAGGTAGCAAATGAACATTGGGCCTCTACTCAAGTACTCCCTCAATGCAAGAACACTTTGTTCTATTAAACTGGCATTCCATGATGCTCACCTTCCCAACATGATCGCTGAAGACAAAGCGGGTGCATAAGCAAATGTGGTGAAGAAAGCTGATGGTGCCCAGCTGTCAAAAGATACAGTGTTTTAAAAAAAAAAAGATATAGTGTTTGGGGTCTTAAAGGCTTGAAGGTAAACAAGTGGCCATCTAGCTGAGAAGCAACAAAGCCCACATGGAAGAAGCACACCAGCCTGAGGTGTCGATGGGATCAGGTTTCAGGCATCAAAGAACAAAAAATCATATCATTGTGAATGAGAGGGAGTGCGGAGTGGGGACCCAAAGCCCATCTGTAGGCTACTGGACATCCCCTTACAGAAGGGTCACAGGGAGGAGACGATCCAGTCAGAGTGCAGTGTAGTAACAATGAAACATACAACTTTCCTCTAGTTCTTTAATACTTCCTCCCCTCCCCCCAATATCATGATCCCAATTCTACCTTACAAATCCAGCTAGACCAGAGATGTACACTGGTACAGATAAGAGCTAGAAACACAGGGAATCCAGGACAGATTAAAGCCCCCAGGACCAATAATGAGAGGAGCAATACCAGGAGGGGAGGGGGAAGGTGGGGTAGAAAAGGGGAACCGATCACAAGAATCTACATATAATCCCCTCCTTGGGGGATGGACAACAGAAAAGTGGATGAAGGGAGATGTTGGACAGTGTAGGACACGACAAAATAATAATAATTTATAAATTATCAAGTCTTCGTGAGGGAGGGGCGGGGAAGGAGAGGAAAAATGAGCTGATACTAAGGGCTCAAGTAAAAATAAAATGTTTTGAGAACGATGATGGCAACAAATGTACAAATGTGCTTGACACGATGTATGTATGGATTGTGATAACAGTTGTATGAGCCCCCTTAAAATGATTTAAATTTAAAAATATATAATATTGATAAAATTTTATATCACAATTTTCTCTGATTATCATTCCTGCACTTTTCATATTGTTACAGCCTATAACTATCATTATAAAGAACTACTACACAATATAGGATTACTCTCCTATTACTAGACATTTAGGATATTTCCAATTTTATGTTACTACAAATTTTGGGGGGCATGAACTGATAAAGCCCTATTTTCTGTGTTTAGAATTATTATATTATGTTAAACTCTGAAAAGTGGAATTACTGGGTTAACACATCATTTATAATGTTCGCTTATAGATATGTAGGTGTGGTAGTTACACAATAGGTGTCAAATTGGGACTTGAGAAGGTGGAGACTAGTCTATCAACCGGGTCACAGCCAATGAGGTCCTGTGTGGGCATAGCCTTCTCCTGAGGATTCTGGGAACTCTGGTCTCTCCTCCAGTAGTTGGCTGCTAGCTCTCTGCCTCAACTTGTGAGCTACACTACCTATGGGATTGCCAACCCATGGATTGTGTCACTAGAGCTTGAGGTTCCTTCGAGATGCCACACAGCTGGTGTGTACATTGCTTGAACTTGGGACTGTCAGATCCTGTCGTCTTACTGATGGTGACCCACCCTGCTGTTTGCTGCCAGTGGCCAGACTGCCTGCGTTGCTCTACAGAAGACTCAGCTGTCTGCTTCCTTGACCTTGGACCAGCGGCCCTCGTGAGTTGAAGGACTTGCAGTATATTAACTATTCCTCAGAAGTAAGTTGAACTAAGCACTCTGTACTGCTGTGTGGACTAATTAACTGTTAATTTCCTTGGTGCTGCATATATCTATCTTCATACGTGTATATCATCATAAGTGTCCAGGTTTTATTTCTCTAGAGAACCCTGTCTAACATAAGTAGTTAAAAAAAATAAGTTGTCTTCAGCATAAAGGCTTTTTAAGACTGACAACAGCAACTTAAAACACTAGATAGGAGGAAAAAAAAGACTAGATAGGAACCTTAGGGGACAGTAAGTTTACTTTGATAAGAGATGAATAAATAACTCAGAATGTTTACACATCTTGAAGAATACAATTGACCAATGGTTACCATAGGTGAAGGGAAAAAAGTTGTTGCTGCATAGCGGGCATTGAGTTTATGTCAATGGCAGTAGAATAATTCGGGAAAGGATATTAATCAGGGCTATACAACACAAAGAGTCTAATCAATACCATTGAATTCACAAGTAGAAGTTGTGCAATTGGAGAATGTTCTGTGGTGCTTATTTTTGCCACAATTAGAAAAAAAATGCTAAGTACATGAGTAACAATGACTACCAAGAAGAAGAAAATATTCTAGAATTGAATAAGATGACAATTGTACAGCTCTTCTTGATATTATTGAATTGTTGAGTTGTGTGACATGTAGATAGAGTGCTAATAAGACTAGTCAATGTCATTAAGCTGTACATGTACAAAAATGTTGCGTTGTATGTTCTCAACAACAAAATAGATCAGTGGTTCTCAACTTTCCTCATGCCGTGACCCTTTCATACAGTTCCTCATGTTGTGGTGACCCCTAACCATAAAATTATTTTCCTTGCTACTTCATAACTATCATTTTGCTACTGTTATGAATTGTCATGTAAATATCTGGTATGCAGGATGTATTTTCATTGTTACAAATTGAGCATAATTAAAGCATTGTGATGGATCACAAAACCAATATGTAATTATATATTGTGAAATACTTATTTCTAATGACACATAAATGGAATTTTGTCTTGAAGCTGTGGTGTAGCATGGGTAACAATCTTAATATAACACAATAAACTCCATTGCTACATTTTGCAACAGTATGCATAAAAAGTCAACGTCAATGCAAAGGTTGAGATAAGTTCTTTCTCACCAGATCAGCCTATCTGCATGTGGGCCCACCTGGAGAGGGATAGAGGAGCGGTGTCTCCGTTCCTAAGACCATCGGAAGGAAATATGTTTTCCGATGGTCTTAGGTGACCCCTGTGAGAGGGTGGTCGTTCAACCCCCAAAGAGGTCGCGACCCACAGGTTGAGAACCTCTGAACTAGATAAAAAAAGAAAGAAAAGGTTAAAGTCCATATAGAATCAAGATCAAAGCAAATGGAAATGTAGTTCTACATAAAACAATGAAGAGTAATGAGAATGATAACTGCGTGGATTAATCTATCAGACTTCTTTTCATATGACTTAACGTCTTTTTAAAGAACATCAACTGATTCAACAAACAAACAAAATGTCAGTAATCACAAAATATAGACAGACTCAGGGACAATTTCAGATAAGGGAAGATGGA